GAGCCGTGCTAACGTTAGCATGCGGTGGGATGTAAACAGCAATCACAATAACGACTGTAAACTCCCTTGGGAGATAGAAGGGTCTGCACGAGACTGCCAGAACCTCTAAATCAGGAGAACAGTGTGTGTTAATGATCCTGCTATTACAGCACCACTCGATGTTCACGTAAACACAGAGCCCCCCTCCTCTGCTCTTACCTGAGTCTCTGTTTCTATCATGCCGGTGTAGCGTGCGTCCTGCGAACTTGTCCTGCGAGTTTGTTTCTTCTGCGTCATCAATGAACACAGTGGATCTGGATCAGGTTTGTCAGAGGTGAAGGAAAGTCAAGCTGAAATGAAAACAAATGAGGAAAATAAACTCGAGTGGTGTGACAGAGGATTGAGAGTGAACGGCATGTGGGCCACACTGTGTCTGAAAGAGACCCATGGGCGAGAGAGTGAAGAAAAACGGCCGCTAGGGGGCGCTGCAGAAAACGTCTTGTTACCTGTAAACAGAAAAAGTATCAAACGCTCAAACAATAATGAAAAATATTTATTTAGCGTAACTTTAAGTTTCTGCTCTTCTTCAACAAATACAGACCTTTGAGAAAAAACATTAATTTACTTGAAATATTTTCAAATGGTACCCAGCAGGGGTCCCTCACGCCACCCACAGGTGCCAGTTTATTGAACTGTGTGTGTCACTGTGTGAAACTGTTGCTACTGTGCATTTAAACCTGTGCAGGATGTGATGAGGGCTTTTAAAAAGTGTTCTTGGTTTGCCCTGGAAACGCTGGTTAATCATGACATTCTGTCAGCTTGACATGAGACCACCTGCCTCCAAAATTCATTCAGTCTTTTTTTTCCACACCTCTGTTGTCCCTGCAGTGGAACAGTTACTTTAATTGGTTTTTGTCTGTTGAGCACACAAAACAACCTCAATATTGACCGTAACTACACTATAAACCATAACGTCATTATAGATCATAACTTCATTATAGACCATAATATTATTATAGGCCATAGTTTCATTATAGACCATACTTTATTATAGACCATAATTTCATTATAGACCATAACATTGTTATAGACCATAACATTATTAAAGACCATAACTTTACTATAGACTGTAACCTCAGTCTAGACCATAACTTTATTATAGACCATAACCGTATTATGGACTATAACCTTAATGTAAACCATACGTTTAGTATAGACAGTACATATACAGTATATATGTATTTATGTATGTGGGCATACAAACATAAATATATGTAGTGCAAATAAATTGGGAATAAACATTTGTGTTTGGAGAAATGGAGAAACATTTGTGCATGGAGAAATATGATGATTATTTTGAATCCAGTATGAGGGCAGCCAGCCCCAGACAACTACAGATAATGATGATGAGGATGACTGAAATTTTTCTTTGAAGCTCCATCTCTGAACCATGTTACTCAAGTAAAATGTCACTGAAAATTACATCCACCACTCAACCTCCATCCACTCAACACACACACACACACACAGCACACACACACACACCAGTGGTACGTCCTTTCTCCCTGTTACAATGCTCCATAACAGTTATTTCATCTCAGACCTGTGGAGAACAGTACCAGAGGCTGTTGCTTCAGAGAACACAGACAGACAGAGCAGAAACAAAGCACTTCAACAGAGGTGAGAATCAAAATCATAATTTCCTCAAACATCATACTTCATCTCATTTTATTTTTTTTTAACATGCAAAGAAGATGAAGATGATGATGTCATCAGCCAATCAAAGTCCAGACTGTGGCCCTGCGTGCAACGAGTCCTATAGTTCAGAAGGACGAGGGCTACCACTGCTGATCGACGCCTGGCTGGTGCCCACTTTCTTCGCACTCATCATGGTGGTCGGCCTGGTGGGGAACGCACTGGTCATCCGTGTGGTCACCAAACACCAGCAGATGAAGACCATCACCAACTTCTACATCGGTAACGTTGTCAAATTCCAAGTATAAAAGCTTAGGTCTGTTTTGACATGATGATATAACATGACATCATCTGTATGGCTGTCTTATGTTTTTTACATCATTTATCTGATTTATCACAGGGTACCTATGGATTAATTATGATTAGCTGTAGGGATAGTTGGAAAGACATTTAAAGGGGGCACTAATTGGCTCAGATGTGACGCACAAGAAGCTGTTTGTTTTTGCCTAGCGGTATACTGTTAATTTCTTGTCTCATATTTGTACAACAATTGAGCTAACTGTTGCTGACACAACAATCGTTATGTGCAACTTAATGGGACAAATCCAGTGAAGTTAGCTATGGCAAAGTGCGTCACTACGTACTTACAGTTTAGGGCCGTTTCTTCATTCATGCGACAAGTTAAGACTCGAGCGAGTACCGATTAGATCACAATTGCCTTCCGGCGGAGGTTTGACTTTGTTCCGCTCTGCATTTGTGATGTGTCGTTCCCGAGTGATTCGTTCAATATGAACGAAACTTTTCTATGACTCGTGACTCCCGAGTCATATGAAAGATTCGTGACTCGTCATATTGAACTCACAAATAACTCTCTGCAAACTAATCACTCATTGCAAACGAACCACTCACTGCGAACGAATCACTCTGTGAAATAATCTTTCGCTTCGTTCCCGCAGATTCGTTTCATTTGTCACGTGACAGAGAGCTCGGGTCTCTTTTGCTGTTATTCATCTTCACATTGTGGTGTGTTTTTCTTTCTTAGGTTTTCACATGGTTTAATTGCTTATGGTATTTTGTGTACTTGTGTACAAACCATGTTGCCTTCAGTGTTTAGTGTTGGAGAACCGAAGCCTTCTTTACAACGCCCACAATAGGGCTAAAGCGCCACCTACTGTAAAACGAATGAAATTATTCGTTCAAGATTCGTTCATTTTACTGTTCGACAGCCAAAGAAAAAATCAGTATCAGCCGAATCAGTAAAAAGAGTCGGTCTTCCCATCACTACTCTGCATCGCCAACGTTCACCCTACGATTGAAAACACAGGTGTATCGATCGGTACGTTCGGTACACGTGTGCATTTGTACCGAACACATTGAGGCGAAACACGTACTGTTACAGCCCTGATATACATACATATACATACTGATTATGACCCACTGTTGTCGACTTGTAGTGAACCTGGCTACAACGGACATCCTGTTTCTGGTCTGCTGTGTGCCCTTCACTGCCACACTGTACCCACTGCCCAGCTGGATCTTTGGAGAGTTCATGTGTCGACTGGTCAACTACCTTCAGCAGGTGATATTTAATGAAGATATACACGACACAGGGATGGAATTATTTAATCATAAACTCATGGTTGAAACTCAAGAAGACGTGGAAGCGGTCCTAAAATATTTCTATTTGTTTTATGTATTTATCATGTCATTGTTTATTAGCCTATAGACGTTTGACTGCGTGTCCTACTTTTGTTATCACCAAAATGTGCCACATGAGGATGACCTTTGGCCTCCATCCCCCTGAAATCTAATCAGACAATAGAGTTGGTCCTGTGAAACATTCCAATCACATGTTTCTAATAACTGTTTGTCTCTGTGTGTGTGTGTTTCAGGTCACAGCACAGGCCACATGTATAACTCTGTCAGCCATGAGTGTGGACCGCTGTTACGTAACGATCTACCCTCTGCACTCACTGCGGCGTCGTACGCCACGCATGGCTCTGACCATCTGTGTCACTATCTGGATAGGTATGAGTGAGAAATCAAACAACTTACAAACCCACGGAACTGTGTCACTTGACCCCATCTGCCAAGCAACATTTTTAATAGGTGGTCTGCAGGGGGGATGTGATAGACTAGAATAAAGATAGTAAATAGAAGAAAACTGGGGATGTCCAATATTATGTTTTTGCCGATATGCTGATATTGTCCAAACGCTTAATTTCCGATTTCGATATAAACCGATGCCACAATCCACTGTATGAGTTGCTAGCACTAACATTCTGCTTACGATCCCCTGATTCTTAAAATAGATTCATAAAATGAGTTGCAATGCTGTCATCTAGTGGCTTTCACTTTCATATACAGCCTTTTCCCCCCAAAGCTATTTTAGGTGCAGACATCATTTGCGAAACCCAATCATTGCGTTATTCTTACAGATATTACATAATTATGCTAATATCGGGCAGATAATATAAATCATTTGAATTCAAACTTCTTCTTCAGAGTTTATTTTTGTCAACAATGACGTTCTTGTTCTTTGAACATCACGCCGGTGTCTTCTGTCCTTATCCAGGATCCCTGCTACTGTCGACCCCTGTGGCACTTTATCAGCGCTTAGAGGTGGGATACTGGTACGGTCCTCAGACCTACTGCACTGAGGTTTTTCCCTCACCCCTCCTCCAGAGAGTCTTCATCATCTACAGCTTCCTGGCTGTGTACCTGCTGCCTGTGCTCACCATCACTGCCTGCTACACATTCATGCTCAACCGCATCGGTCAACCTGGCGTGCACCCCATCGACAGCAGCTACCAGGTCATTAAAACCAAGGTTTCATTTTATTATATTTTAATATCCAATATTATTGTCCAAACACTTAATTTCCGATTACGATATCAACTGATACCGATATAGGCGTGCTAATATTTATTTATTTATCTGTACGAACCACTGTATTGTGTTGATGGCACCAGCATTCTGCATAGAATTCCCTGATTATTAAAATAGATTAATAAAATGAGCTGCAGTGCTGCCATCCAGTGACTTTCTCTTTCATAGATACCTGTTTATCCCCAAAACTATTCCTAGAGCAAACATCATTTGGCGATACCCAGACATTTCTATTGTTATCGGGTTTTCATTATCAGAGGAAAAATGGATAACGATTCTTAAGATGTTACATAATTATGCTAACATCGGCTGATATAATCGGACATCCTTAATATTTGTTATAACATTAGAGAACAGATTGAAACAATTTTCACATCTCTACAATAAGTTTCTTGTTTTCCAGCTCCAGGCTCAGGCAGAGCGAGCAGTAGCAATGCGAGCTCGAGTCTCCAGGATGGTGGTGGTGATGGTGGTGCTGTTCCTCATCTGCTGGGGACCCATTCAGGTCTGTATCCTGCTGCAAGCTTTTGGCCTCCAGGGTTACGTCCTGTATAAGGTGAGTTCCTCTCCAGCGTGACGGATGCCACTGATGACATTTTAGTTCAGTAAAAAACATAAACATTGTTCTAGAATTATTTCTCTCTCCATATATTTATCCACAGCTGAAAATTTTGGGTCACTGTATGTCGTACTCCAACTCCTCTGTGAACCCCCTGGTTTATGCCTTTATGGGCAACAACTTTAGGAAGGCCTTCAAACAAGCCTTTCCTGCCATATTTCTGTTGCGGACACGGCGCAGAGTGGGGCACATAGACTCGGACGAAGGCCGGGAGATTGATCCACAGGCACCCAGAGGAGATACAGAGATGCACTTTCTTTCATCTAGCTCCTAAAGGCCACATTGAATATTTGGAAACTCAAACTGCAGTTAGTCGGGCTGCAGATGAAAAGTACTTTATACTGTATATTCACACAAACATAGTCTTTACACTGCTGTCAGGGGAACATGACTAAGAAATAATACTGTTAACGAAGTAAAGTCCAAATTCACAAGCAGTGAGTGTAAAAACGCCCAAATGAAAATATTTTTGTGCATTTTATTTCTGACTTTCAAACTTTCATCAAATGGGACGGATTGAACCCCCTAGTGGGCCAATTTTGGCCGGCAAGCCTTATGTTCGACACCCCTGTTGTAGAGTGTGTGTGTTTGTATAGAGTAGGTACGATCTGAATAAGTCAGCCCAATCTCAGTTTATTAAACCCTGTGGGAGTGCCGCCCCGCACTTTGGAAACCACTGCTGTATCAGTATCCTAGCCTGACCACTTTACTTTGCGCTTAAGCCAAATTATGAGTAGTTTTTATGTATATGGTTATTGTTAAAGCTGCACAAAACTCTCATTATACTGTGCACTCAGAGAGAGATAAGAGATCACGTGATGAATGAAACTCCATCTGAGCCACATGACCTCCAGCTCTGTGAAGGTTTTCAGTCATCTGTGAGTCTTCTTTGGACAAACAGATAAAGACATGGGAGGGCGATAAAGTTCCCCTTGAAGAGCTGGTTGTAACTGGAAGACTGTATAAATGTAACTACTTTCTAATGTATTAATAAACGTTTCTGCAATTAATTATTATTTATTCAAGTTACAAATATTGTTCATTGCTGTGTAATTTAAAAAAAACCCATCAGGTTAAGAAACTCTGCAGCCTGGACTTTTAAAGCTCCAGTGGACCACACAAAATGACGTGGCGGGTCACATTTGGTCAGTGGACCTTGAGTTTGACATGTGCCCTAATCAATATACTCACCTTCAGTATTTTCTGACATTAAACTGGGTCAAACTGATACAAATACACCTGTGATGCACACAGAACCCTAACAGTGCAGCTGAAGGTCACTACCACTCGATATGTGCTTGTTCTCAAACTATGCTCTGTGTAACTATAGGTTTACTTGGGTTACATCTAGTGGTCCATTCCAAAATCAGTTTATTAAAGCCTGTTTAATTGTAATCATAATCAACCATTTGCATTTTAGAGCACGCAAGAGAACGAGCTCAGTGATGCATTTAAATGCTATCTGAAAATAAGGTAACTTCAAAAGACAGAAGTAGATGTCGCTTTTCTGTGATGAGGATTTTTGTGGTTCCGATTGAAACCAGAACATAAAAGGATTTGTTTAAAAAAAATTAAAATGTTTTTTATATTATTCATAAATATGTAATTCTAACAAAATAAAGATAGACACGCTAGGATTTTCAGCTAGCATGCAAAAGCACTAGGTACTGTATATTCATTCACCTTGGTGAATATAACCGTTGTAGAAGCTAATACGTTTAGAAATGCTAACACAGTATGTTGAGAAATACCACGTGAGAAATACCACGTTAAAAGCTGTCTTTACTCTATAAAAAAATGAAAGTTTCAGAGTCTGCCACGGTCTGTGCTAATTTTAAATAACGCTTCTATGTAAAACAGGACATTTTGGTAACGATTAAAATGCAGAACTCGAGTTTATATGAGGATTTAAAAAAATATTATTTCTACACACAAATTACAAAAAACTCGAAAAATGATATATTTATTATTACTTTATATCAAATACTATACGTGCAACTATACTAAAATGTGTCCGAAAAAAGGTCCACTTAGAAATAATTTCTAATAATGTATCTGTATAAAGTGTACACTGAATAAAACGTCACTATAATTATATATATCTACAAAGATTTACGCTAATTTTCAAGCTAGCTAGTATGTTAACGTTATTGTCTTTGCTATGTTAAAAGGTTCACTTTGCAAAAGATTAGCGATGGATTTAAAAAAACGTGGCAGCTTTCCTGTTTACGAGCAGTACATAAACGCAACGCGCTGTTTAACAAATCGTGTAGAGAGTGTGACACACACTCACACTCACCGGTGCAGCAGGACGGAACGGACGAGCAGGAGTAAGATACGGGAGAAGAAGAAAATCCCCGGGAAGCGTTCACGACCATTTTTATATTCATCGCCGCCGTCGTCGTTAATCGTTGAGCCGCTGATCCAGCAACAGCAAATCTGTGACAACATGGACCAAACACAGACCATCAACTTCGGAGCTGGACCTGCAAAAATCCCACAATCCGTAAGTATGCACCGCTCGTCTGCATTTGTAGTATCGTCACAGTTGTAAGACACAGGGCCTCGGAAAAAAACGTCTTAATCACTAACAACGATTACTTGATTATTTGGCTCAAAACAGGTTGGTTTGCTTCGTTGTGACGATGCACTGAGATTGTGGAGTCTCAGCAGGTTTGGACGAAAACTATGCACAGAGTTGCGTCAGCTTCATTCATTTGACTGTATAAATCAAAATATGTGTCTCATGTTTGTCCTGCAGAGGGCAGCAAAGGGAAGGACTTTTTTATTGCAGCGTACAGTTAAAACACGATATCTAAAAACACATAAAACTTGGATTTTCTAATTAAATTCATATAAAGACGTAAATACTGTAAGAAATATAAAAACAAATAAGGGAAATAATTCCTTTAAACGTGGCATTTCATTTATCGTTTTTTTGTAGGAGCAGTGGGGGTTTTTTTCTATGTGATTACGCTTACTACTTGTTATATTAACAAAAATCGCATGAATATGTACCTCCACATTCCTGTGTGTAGAAACTGAACATGTATATTGTTCCAGGTGCTGTTAAAAGCACAACAGGAGTTTCTCAACTTCTCCACCTCTGGCATCAGCGTTCTGGGTGAGTTGCAGGAACCCAACCGACTGCAGTATAAAATACCACCTTGATGCTCAATGAAACATATTGAAACTAACTTTTTTTGTTTCACTCACTCCAGAGATGAGCCACCGAGCATCAGATTTCATCCAAATTATCAACAGAACAGAGAGTGTCCTGCGAGAGCTGCTGTGAGTTCTTACTCCCGTTTATGAGATACCGCTTTAATAAAATGGAGAACACTGGTGCGTCTTCGTGTTACGGTGGTAATTGTAACATGGGAGATTGTTGGAACAAGAAATACAGGGCAAACAGGTTGTATAAAATGGTACAGCGTGTCCCCTTTGCAATAAATAAGGTTCATTCAGGGCGAAACGTTTTTTCTTAGTCCACTTGTTTTGTCTGTGTCTTTAATCAGAACTCTCTGTCTCTGTCTCGTCAGAAACATTCCAGCCAACTATAAGGTGTTGTTCCTGCAGGGTGGCGGTTCGGGACAGTTCAGTGCCATTCCTCTGAACCTGATTGGCCTCAAAAAAGACATGTGTGCTGATTACGTGGTGACCGGCACGTGGTCGGAGAAGGCTGCGAAAGAAGCTGAGAAATATGGCAAAATCAACATCGTCCACCCAAAGATGGACAGTTACACAAGTACGTCTCTGTGGAACTTGTGGTTTTCTCGCCTTGACTGTACACTGCAAAACAACTCTGGAAATAACTGGTATAATATAGCAGAACAGCTTGAAACTTTTGAATTAAGCTCAGTAAGTAAAGAAAATAATAGTAATATAATAATAATATAATATAAAACACTGTACAACGAGAATTAAAATTCAATTTTGACTCACAATAAGTTCCCTAATCCTCATGGGAAATTGAATCATGCCGTGTGCCACCAAAGTACTACTATTACTCATACAAAAGTTTGAGAACTTCTCTGCAGTAAACTATAACACAAATTTTTCATTAATTTTTTCTGCCGTAGCCCTTCCTTATCGTTTGCTAACTAAAGTTACCAAAATGCTAAGTGCTGTTGAAAAATCGGAGAATCGACTAAAATATTACAAAACAGATGGCAAAAGTAGGGGGAAATGTAGTTACTTAATAAACTATTGGAGGTTCAACAGATTAAGAGACAAAATGAAAACTTAGCTATAAAATTTAAAATTAGCTGAAGATGTTAAGCTGTAGGGTGCAGAGTAGCAAATGTGCTAAACCACGAGGAAAACACGGCTAATTCAGCTTAAAAATGTTAGCTTTAAAATAAAAACGTTTGAGAAGAACTATATGTCCCAAATTAGTCACAAAACAAAACAAAAATGTTTAAACACATCTACAGTAATTGGATAAAAGAATCCTAACTATTAGCTTTGTTGTTTTTTCCCCAGAAATCCCTGATCCCAGCAGCTGGACCTTGAATCCTGCGGCGTCGTACGTTTATTACTGCAACAATGAAACAATCCACGGTGTGGAATTCAACTTTATACCTGAAACAAACAGCGTGGTTCTTGTTTGTGACATGTCGTCCAATTTTCTGTCCCGACCTATAGACGTGTCAAAAGTAAGAACCCGGTCCCTCTAGTCTGCAAAAGAACAAATCATTCTCAAATTCTCAGAAGGAAAAAACGTGCTGTAAAAGCTAAAAATGCTAATTACATTTAGTGCCCTGTGGTGTCTCTATTTATGTTGTCGTTAGTTTGGGCTGATCTACGCCGGTGCTCAGAAGAATGTGGGCTGCGCTGGGGTCACTGTGGTCATCGTGCGGGAGGACTTGTTGGGTCACACTCTGAAGGAGTGTCCTATCATCCTGGACTACAAGACTCAGGCTGAACTGAACTCCATGTACAACACTCCGCCATGTTACAGGTACTGAACCAAAAATTACCGGAGTACAGGTTATTACTTTAGCTCAGTTCTTAATTACTTTCTGTCATGCGCCCCCTTGAGGACAAATGTTTTCATGTCCCCCTGTTACCTCCCTGACCCACACCCCCACAAATTGAAATACTATTGAGAACCTGATAACATGTACATTTTTATCTGTACAAACCATTGTATGAGTTGCTGCCACCTAGTGACTGGAGGCTTGTTATCATTCATGCATTACAGCAGTTGTACACTTAGGTCCATATGCGTACCCTCCCCAACCCCCTCTATTTTGTTTGTTTTTTTTTTTCATTATTTTTCTGCCTCAGCATCTACATCATGGGTCTTGTGTTGGAGTGGATAAAAAGCAATGGTGGCGGCGCTGCCATGGAGTCACTCAACCAACAGAAGTCCTTGTTGATTTATGACGTCATCAATTCTTCCAACGGTTTTTATGTGTGAGTATATCTTCAAAATTATACGATATAAAAACCGGAAGTGCACTGAGTTAAACGTTCCTTGGATATTATTAGGGGTTTTCAACCTGTGGTACATGAGCCAAGTGTGACTTTTTAGACTCTTTGCCTTGGCTCACTTACACGATCTTTAACCGAGTGAACAAAACGCTGTTTTAAATAAAATCAAAAGTTACCCTAATTTTTGCTAATAGCAAAGTCACATGATATCACTACTATAGACGGTGAATCCTATGTTCAAGGTGCCATAAATTACTTCGGAATTGAAGGAAATTTGGAATATTGTGTCGCTCTTTCCAGGTGTCCAGTGGAGGAGACCTGCCGAAGCCGCATGAACATACCATTCCGTATCAGAAGCAAAGAAGGCGACGCAACCTTGGAAAAAGAGTTTCTCGAGGGAGCATCCAAAAAGGGGATGATTTCACTGAAAGGTCACAGGTTAGTTTGTGTGTGTGTGCGCACCTGCGTGTGTGAAGAATTTTTAAATCTTAAAATTTTTGTCTCTCCCTGCAGGTCAGTTGGAGGAATTCGTGCATCTCTGTACAACGCTGTAACGCTGCAGGACACCGAGGCTCTGGCGACCTACATGAAAGAGTTTCTCCGTCAGCACCAGTAACGAAAAGGCCCTCATGTCGCCGTCATGATATGGGATCGGTGTCGGACGTTTACCTGTAGATAGAATCCATGTTGGATTTTTATGATGCACCTTCTCAGATGCCTTTTTTCCCCCTAAAGTGTACTTCTTTTCCGTAGTAACACTAAACCACTACATTGCCAATAATGTCAACGTCCTCAAATCTTAACATGTATGTAATGATTCACTGTACTCTGATATAGAAATGACGCTTAATCCTTGTCAGGTGTTTAAAAATAAAATAGGATTCTGGAACACTAGCATGATGTTACTGTTTTTTTTTTTTTAGATATACATTTTTTTGTTTTGTTTTTTGTTTGCTTTGTTTAATTTTTACTATATTTGTTGTTTATTCTGTGTAGATAAAGTTCAAATTTCATTCGTTTACGTTGCACTTCTACAGAGTATCATTATAAATCAATAAACCCTCATATTCGTGGTTAACTTTCTCCTAAAGATACAACTAGATGTTTTTGTAGCAGATGACCACTTGGCGGTAGTGTTGTTACCACAGGACAGATT